AGGAGTAGCTTGCTGGATCATCAAATCATGCCCCACACAGAATGTGTTACTCTGGCCGCAATCATGCCCCACACAGAATGTGTTACTCTGGCCGCAATCATGCCCCACACAGAATGTGTTACTCTGGCCGCAACCATGCCCCACACAGAATGTGTTACTCTGGCCGCAATCATGCCCCACACAGAATGTGTTACTCTGGCCGCAATCATGCCCCACACAGAATGTGTTACTCTGGCCGCAATCAGCCCCACACAATGTGTTACTGGCCGCAATCAGCCCCACACAGAATGTGTTACTCTGGCCGCAACCATGCCGCACACAGAATGTGTTACTCTGGCCGCAATCATGCCCCACAGAGTATGTGTTTCTCTGGCCGCAATCATGCCCCACACAGTATGTGTTACTCTGGCCGCAATCATGCCCCACACAGTATGTGTTACTCTGGCCGCGATCATGCCCCACACAGTGTGTGGTACTCTGGCCGCAATCATGCTCCACACAGTATGTGTTACTCTGGCCGCAATCATGCCCCACACAGAATGTGTTACTCTTGCCGCAATCATGCCCCACACAGTATGTTTTACTCTGGCCGCAATCATGCCCCACACAGAATGTGTTACTCTGGCCGCAATCATGCCCCACACAGTATGTGTTACTCTGGCCGCAATCATGCCCCACACAGTATGTGTTACTCTGGCCGCAATCATGCCCCACACAGTATGTGTTACTCTGGACGCAACCATGCCCCACACAGAATGTGTTACTCTGGCCGCAATCATGCCCCACACAGTATGTGTTACTCTGGCCGCAATCATGCCCCACACAGAATGTGTTACTCTGGCCGCAATCATGCCCCACACAGTATGTTTTACTCTGGCCGCAATCATGTCCCACACAGAATGTGTTACTCTGGCCGCAATCATGCCCCACACAGTGTGTTACTCTGGCCGCAATCATACCCCACACAGGACCTCCACCATGTCCCCCCGGCCCCATACATGTCCTCCTGGCCTTCATAATATCCCACACATGTCCCACCCTCACCTACCTGCAGCCTTCACACAACACCAACAACTCCGTGAACAACTGCTAGCTTGCACTCCTTCTACAGGCAGCGAATGACAGGGTCGGTTTCCTTGACGGGGATTCAGGAGCGTCATACACGCAAGCAAGCGCGTGCACGCACGCACACACACACACACACACACACACACACACACAAACACTCACTCATACACACTCTAACACACACACATATCTAGCCCCGTGCTCACTCACACGCCCAAATCTTGTAGACCTGGTCAGTGTGGAAGAGTTCGTACACTAGGCTGGTTCACATCCTGACGGTGTTGCACAAAATGAAGACAACAATCGTTGGGTTGATGGGCACTTAGTCCAAATGGGCAGTTCATTAAAAGAGGTTTGATATATTTTACCAGTACATGTGTTTTTACTTTATCGGTAAATATGTTTTTATTTTATCGGTACATGTGTTTGAATTTTATTAGTCCATGTGTTTGTAATTTTTTAGTACATATTAAACTTAGTAGAAATATTTTCGTGTCAGGACATACATTAAAAGTGACCATGGCTCAAAGACAGCTTTTCACAAACAGACTGTCATCATTGTATGGATCATGGTATGAGAAGAAGGCATGTTGGGACTTGGTGTGTTCACTGCCACGATCTGTGGAAAAAGAGGCAGTGAAACTCGAGACTATTCTCTCAACAGTGTTTTGTCATGGCATGGGTGAGGGGGGGGGGGGGGGGGGGGCCCACGAACTGATACATGTCGGTGAGGAGAGGCCCAGGCCGGCCAGTCGTCTAGGTCAATGATCATCAGTAGAATAATTTCATACAGACTTATATGACATACACACACCTTATATAACATTATATATATATATAATATCTTCATACTAACATAAGTCTGTTTCACGTAATAAGGTAACCAATAGATTGACTTTAGATAATCACAAATAGTTCATCTATTCAGAGTGTTATTCAATCACTTTTGACGCAGTTTTTATTTTAATTATCTCTAGCCGGTATCTCATGGCTTCTTTTACTTTCAGTAATTTCTCCACGGGAGCCGCCGTAATGTAGCGGCTACAAGTTCGCATGCGGATTCATTGATTGGGGAATAGGCTACTGAAATAGTCAGCATGCATGGCTGCACATGAGAGCTGATTTTAAAAAATCTCCATATTTGTGTCGAGTACTGTAAATTCTAAACTACTGGATGTAAATTGCCTAGAGAAACCACACAACAGCCAGGGGCTGTTAGGGTTGGTTCTGAAACGTCCTGTAAAGGATACGCAACTAATTTAACTGTAAATTATACTTTTCAGGGGTACATAAATTATTAGTCAAAGATCAAAGAAATTCGCCCCTTTAACAAAATAGCAGCATCTGCGCAATTGTAATGATAGAATCATAAGGACATGGAAAATCTTGGGCCACATGCAACAATTCGTGTTGATTCGGAAAGCAGCTGTCGGGGTGTTCGCTCAGGTGCGACGGCGTGAGTTTATATGTACTTTAAATTCTTACATATTTCTGTTTCAAAAGACTATTTTAATCACAAGAAACAATCATAATATAATAATGATGTAACAGCTGTCATGACATTGGTGACTGCAGCAACTGTATCAGGCTCTGATAGTTGCATCAAGCATGTCTAACAGGCATTCAGCAATAAACACCAGGCCCGCTTGGCGTTACTGTGTGAGTTCAGTAGAACAGAGAGCATCATACAGGTAAAACAACCTTGTCAACAGGCTATACATTACATCTGCTTATCAACCTGGGGCTACTGAATATTTATGAAATGTGAAGTTGTTAGGGAGAGAATAAATTATGTCAGTATGTTCACTATTTGAGCAACAAGATCTCCAGAAAATATTTCTGTGCAGAGACAAAGAGGGTCGGGACATGCTGAAACAAAGTTTGGCTAGCAGCTCAAACAAAACTATACCCATACTGGGATCAGAGCAATCTTCCTTGGGTTAAGTAACAGCAACAACAACAAAGGCAGATCTACATTGGAGATGCTATGACAGGGTAATTTAAGTGGTAGCGGTGACAGATGCACAACCAACCAAGTAATCAAACATTGCTTGATTCGTCTGGGGCCTTGCATGTTGACTTGTGCAACCAAATGTGCTTCTGTGAGTCAGACACATTATTATTATTTGTCATCGAGTGCCATGTCGAGACATCTGCGCTACAATTCAAGGCTAGTCTAACAGTTGTCGGAATATCCTGTTCAATAGAAGCACATAGGACCTGAGCTCAACTCAAACGTATTTCCGTGGACCTGGATGCTCGAGTGGAGCTAGAGACAGACATGTTTCTGATGTAGCTGTCTGTTCTACCGAAGACTTGGTGGTGGTACCGTCCATTGAGTCTGTTCTACTGAAGACTTGGTGGCGGCACCACTCATTGTGTCTGTTCTACTGAAGACTTGGTGGCGGCACTGTTCATTGTGTCTGTTCTACTGAAGACTTTGTGGCGGCACCGTTGATTGTGTCTGTTCTACTGAAGACTTGGTGCCGGCACCGTTCATTGTGTCTGCCATTGACGGTTGTCTATGTCAAATCTGACCAGTTGTAAGTTGTTTTTGTGTCTCATATTTATTTATCGTGTGTACAGCTTTTTCCAGCTGAATCCTGTGAAGAATATATTATTAAGCACAAGCTTGTGAGCGTCGTACCGCAAGGGATGCAGTATAATCTGCAGAAAAATGGGCTGTACACATAGAATGTTGTATATCATACACAAATATCACAAATATTTTGGGATGGGGTCACTCAAAGTTGCACTCCTCATAGTAAACACATTAAACACTGGAAAAGTGGAAGCGACAATGGGAGTTAATGTTGCAATTAAAAAAAAAAAAGCCCTTGATAAGCTCTGCATAGAAACGATAACAGATAATTAAAAATCAATATATTCATATCAGGTCAATCAAGGAATCAGTCAGTTGTAGTTGACATCAGGAAGGATGCCTGGAGAAGAAATCTAGTCTGATTGATTCAATCACACGGTTATGATCAACCTAGGTTCAATACATCAATGTGTGTCCATGAACTTTCTGTCTTCTTTAGGCACACACAAAATGACAGCAACAGATGCAAGAGGTTCTGGAACCAGTTCTGGTATCTTTTCTTGCCTCGACATACACCTGGGATAATAGGGTTGTTTTGTCTGTCTCGCGATCCGCGCTCCAGGATGTTTACAATGGATAGTGATTAGTATTGATTGCTGCCAGTGGATTACGGCCGAGAATGATTGTCCAGAAACAGCTGACCAGCGTAGAATATTGACCAGCGTAGAATATTGTAAGTTATTTTAAGACTGAAATAATTAAGTTAGTCACGTGATGAGAGGGATAGTTTTGAAGAGCTGGCGACATCAGGAAATCGCAGCTGCAGAATAGGCAGAGATAGAGCGAGGTAGATGATGTGCCTCAATAGATATGCTATGTGTGTGTTGTGTGTGTGTGTGTGTGTGTGTGTGTGTGTGTGTGTGTGTGTGTGTGTGACTCAAGCAGACTTACGTCAATAAATAATTTAATAACACTGAGCCTTGGCACTATAAATAATACACATGTGACACTCCTAAAACACTGATACTGCACATGTCAGTCCTCACATTTGGTTAATTTCTCATTTCCCCTCAGACTCACATCATGGCGGTCGTCAAGATCACATCTCCATCTGTCGAAGGAGTCAGTGGATGGGACTAGCTCGCACACGCCACACTCCAATCTTCCCTCCATCTTTTACATCTGTGACCCCCCAATCGCTGTACATCCTGGGTTACCTTCCACACTTGCTGGTCTACCTGCCGTCTCCTGCAATAATCTCCACACAGCTTACTGGATTAGCCTGCACATTATCTGCTACCTGCAGAGCTCATAATTCACATCTATCCTGTGACGCTACAGAGCTCATATTCTATCTACCAGTGAATTCACTTTCTGACCTGTTACGGCTTCACTTTCTCATATGGGAAACATCAACTCTGGGCAGCCCATAGTAAACAAACTGTGAAGTTTCTAAACTTCCCTGACCCAAGCCAGACGACATCTGGACAGCGACCGCCCTACTCTCCTCGTCACCAAACTTAATGAATCTCTTCAACGGCGGCGCCACAAGAGCTTTGCCATACATTCCAGGGATGCTGGCGTCGAAGTTTGACGAAGGGTTGACTCCCATTTCGCTCTTGCGTCTCTCCAAGTGGCGGACCTCGTCAACTATTCTCCCATTGACGGCTGTGCGCCACATCGTCCACAGGTGCCTGTCTTTCATAGGGTCGAATGACGTAATCAAATCTGATTGAGGTTCTCTGTCTGATGTCTGCTGGCCATTCTGGGCGCGGGAAAACTTCGTCTGAAGGTTCAAATATCGCTTGATGTAATTTTTGGATCTGTCCGGATGTTGGACAAGTTCGTTACTGAGCAGCTCTTTGGAAATGCCCAATTCTTGGACCGCGTCCACGCTGTGCAGGTCGTTCTGATGCATCTGGGCGACAGCTGATGCCTGGCGACCGTCAACAACTTTGCCTTTCTGAATACCGCTGTGGTACAACACTGCTGCGGCGTTCTGTTGTACCCTGAGATCGCTGCCCAGTTTTAGAGCGGGCGCTGAAGAGTATAGAGCCGAGGTCCTCTGGTAGGGTTCAACCTGTTCATACTGGTTGTAGAGCCGGCCATTTTGTAGGGCTGCCACTCTGTCATTGCGATCGAACCTAGTTACAGCATATTCCATTTCCTTCTGGGTTCGATCCATTGATCTGGGATGTCTTTCCGTGTGGACTGATTCTGAAATAGAAGTATTGTTTCAGAAGTAAGTCAGAAGCAATTGATGTTTTCCCCTACAACTAAGGTTTGTAATATCAATACAAGTCATGTAACATACATAGTAAAACATATATGGCATTGACATCAAGCATGTAAGAAACATTGTAAAAGTATGTTTACATTATAAGTCTTAATATTGACCTTGATATTGAAACAGCAGTGAAAAAGCCTGCCTTTTTGTTTCCCATTTTAGTACCTGCTTTGTGGTTTATTATTCTTCTTTCTTTTTCTTCTTCTTCTTCTTCTTCTTCCTCTTCTTCTTCTTCTTCTTCTTCTTCTTCTTCTTCTTCTTCTTCTTCTTCTTCTTCTTCTTCTTCTTCTTCTTCTTCTTCTTCTTCTTCTTCTTCTTCTTCTTTTTCTTCTTCCTCTTCTTCTTTTTCTTCTTCATCTTCTTCGTCCCCTCAAAATGTGTCCACTAAAACGCCACCTTTTTTCTCTGATAACTACTGATATCAACGGTTGTACGGGCATGTCTCTGATAACTATTGCTATCAACGGTTGTAATGGCATGTCTCTGATAACTATTGCTATCAACGGTTGTAATGGCACGTCTCTGATAACTATTGCATCAACGGTTGTAATGGCATGTCTCTGATAACTATTGCATCAACGGTTGTACATGCGTGTCTCTGAAAACTATAACTATCAACGATTGCAATGGCATGTCTCTGATAACTATTGCTATCAACGATTGTAATGGCATGTCTCTGATAACTATTGCTATCAACGATTGCAATGGTATGTCTCTGATAACTATTTCTATCAACGATTGTAATGGCATGTCTCTGATAACTATTGCATCAACGGTTGTAATGGCATGTCTCTGATAACTATTGCAATCAACGGTTGTACTGGCATGTCTCTGATAACTATTGCAATCAACGGTTGTTATGGCATGTCTCTGATAACTATTGCAATCAACGGGTGTACTGGCATATCTTTGATAACTATTGCTATCAACGGTTGAACTGGCATATATTTGACAGCTTCGATTTTCTTTAATACCTCTAACTTGTGTCCTCGGGTATACTAGAGAATTAAATCATACATTAGGCTGGGAATGGCGAAACCTAATTTACCACGTCAGTAGTCAAGTCATCTGATTGTCTTCCACGCACATAAACACAACACACACACACACACACACACACACACACACACACAAAGACACACACACACACAGCCGAACACAACCAAACACACACAAACAAGACATACTTTCATACCAATCGAGACATACTTTCATACCAATCGAGACATACTTTTATACCAATCGAGACATACTTTCATACCAATCGAGACATACTTTCATACCAGTCGAGACATACTTTCATACCAATCGAGACATACTTTCATACCAATCGAGACATACTTTCATACCAATCGAGCCATACTTTCATACCAATCGAGACATACTTTCATACCAATCGAGCCATACTCATAGACAGACAGGGGACACACACACACACACACACTCGCGCACGCACATCCCATTTACACACACGGACAACTATCAGCACACACACGCACAACTATCAGCACACACACGCACAACTATCAGCACACACACGCACAACTATCAGCACACACAAGGACAACTATCAGCACACACAAGGACAACTATCAGCACACACACGGACAACTATCAGCACACACACGGACAACTATCAGCACACACACGGACAACTATCAGCACACACACGGACAACTATCAGCACACACACGCACAACTATCAGCACACACACGCACAACTATCTACACAGCACAACACACACACACGGACAACTATCAGCGCACACACGGACAACTATCAGCAACATCAGCACACACACGGACAACTATCAGCACACACACGGACAACTATCAGCGCACACACGGACGAAACACAGCACACACGCACAACTATCAGCGCACACACGCACAACTATCAGCGCACACACGGACAACTATCAGCACACACACGGACAACTATCAGCACACACACGGACAACTATCAGCACACACACGCACAACTATCAGCACACACACGCACAACTATCAGCACACACACGCACAACTATCAGCACACACACGCACAACTATCAGCACACACACGCACAACTATCAGCACACACACGGACAACTATCAGCACACACACGGACAATTATCAGCACACACACGGACAACTATCAGCACACACACGGACAACTAGCAGCGCACACACGGACAACTATCAGCACACACACGGACAACTATCAGCACACACGGACAACTATCAGCACACACGGACAACTATCAGCACACACACGGACAACTATCAGCGCACACAAGGACAACTATCAGCGCACACACGGACAACTATCAGCGCACACACGGACAACTATCAGCACACACACGGACAACTATCAGCGGACACACGAACAACTATCAGCACACACACGGACAACTATCAGCGCACACACGGACAACTATCAGCGCACACACGGACAACTATCAGCGCACACACGGACAACTATCAGCACACACACGGACAACTATCAGCGCACACACGGACAACTATCAGCACACACACCGACGACTGCCAGCACACACACACACACTATTTACACACACGGACAACTATCAGCACACACACGGACAACTATCAGCACACACACGGACAACTATCAGCACACACACGGACAACTATCAGCACACGCCGACGACTGCCAGCACACACACCGACAACTGTCAGCACACACACCGACAACTGTCAGCACACACACCGACATTTGTCAGCACACACACACAAAGATCCCAGCAATTAAAATGCAAGATATGCGTCTACTGTTGCTGCAACAATGACAGCTGTATTTGAAAGCTGCTACAGTCTAAAGCCTCGTGTAGGGCACTGACAATACGCGCCAGACATGTTTATACGGTAACTCAAGACGTTCACGGTACACAAGACAAGAAATGTTCCCCTGCCTTGCCGTCATTCACTGTCTCAGACTTCACTGACAGTTTTACAGCAATTGTATAGCCATTTTATTTCTGGTTCCATTCTAGCAACGTCAGAATAACAAGACTGGTAAAATAAGAGATAATGGTGACTCTGGGACTTGGCGTCTTCGGATCATGCAATAATGTAGTCTGTGGGACTTGGGGTTAGCAGATCATACAATAATTTAGTCTGTGAGGCCTGGAGTCAGAACATCATACAATAATGTAGTCTGTGAGGCCTGGAGTCAGAAGATCATACAATAATGTAGTCTGTGAGGCCTGGGGTCAGAAGATCATACAATAATGTAGTATGTGAGGCCTGGGGTCAGAAGATCATACAATAATATAGTATGTGAGGCCTGGAGTCAGAAGATCCTACAATAATGTAGTATGTGAGGCCTGGAGTCAGAAGATCATACAGTAATGTAGTATGTGAGGCCTGGGGTCAGAAGATCATACAATAATGTAGTCTGTGAGGCCTGGGGTCAGAACATCATACAATAATGTAGTCTGTGAGGCCTGGAGTCAGAAGATCATACAATAATGTAGTATGTGAGGCCTGGAGTCAGAAGATCATACAATAATGTAGTATGTGAGGCCTGGAGTCAGAAGATCATACAATAATGTAGTATGTGAGGCCTGGAGTCAGAAGATCATACAATAATGTAGTATGTGAGGCCTGGAGTTAGAAGATCATACAATAATGTAGTCTGTGAGGCCTGGGGTCAACGGATTATGCAATAATGTAGTATGTAAAGACTAGGGTCAGCAGATCATGCAGTAATTTAGTCTGTCGGACTTGGGATTTGCAGGTCATATAATAATGTAGTTTTTGGGACTTGAGGTCAACAGATCATGCAATAATGTAGTATGTGAGGACTAGGGTCGGCAGATCATGCCGTAATTTAGTTTGTCGGACTTGGGATTTGCAGATCATATAATAATGTAGTTTTTGGGACTTGAGGTCAACAGATCATGCAATAACAGATTCTGTGAGACTTGGGGTCAACAGATCATAAAATAACTGAGTCGTGAGGTCTACAGATCATTGAGTAATCCACTGAAGTACTCTCTCACATAAATTATTTACGAAGACTGATGACCGAATCGACACCATAAAGTACGGGGTAAATCTATAGATGCTCTCTCTGTCCATCGCGCTCTCTCTTCTACACGCTCTCCTTGTGTGTATGTGTGTGTTTCTGGGTGTGCGTGCAGATATGCGCGTGCACGCGTGCGTGATTGTCACGTATGACCGGCAACATATAGCCCAAGTGTGTCTCAAATACTAATGCGATCAAAGACTACCTATGAATACCTTCAAGGAATGGCGAAACAATTTCACAGGAGCACCAAAGGCGTATCAATGATTACAGCCACGCCTGATAAGAACCATGTCAGTGAGCCGTGTCGGCTACAAGAGAGACCTGATCTAAAAACAGAACATCAGAGCGTCAACAAATGAAAGTGCACAAGTTAGTTCTATAAATGTTCAACTCAGCTGGTGAATGAGGTTAGCTTTTATTAATCCCTCCATTTTGTTTTTAAATATAACAATTTTCTACTCTTCTTCTTCCTATTCTTCTTCTTCTTCTTCTTCTTCTTCTTCTTCTTCTTCTTCTTCTTCTTCTTCTTCTTCTTCTTCTTCTTCTTCTTCTTCTTCTTCTTCTTCTTCTTCTTCTTCTTCTTCTCCTCCTCCTTCCTCCTCCTCTTCTTCTGCTGCTGCTGCTTATGCTCCTCCTCCTTTCACTTTAACATAGCAGTACGATTTCTTAAAAGGCTTGTAATTTTGTTTCCGAGTGATGAACTCAATTGACCTGTGATGTTTAAAAAAAAAAAATTAAAGAAGTTGCGATCAAAGGACACACTAGGCAACAGAACATGGAAATCATGAGAGCACCACATTGCTACATCCATGGAGGAGGCGACCAGGCAGAGAAGAAATATATGGATTTAGTTTATTTGT